GAATGTGGCCTTTATCCCTAGCAGTCTTTACTCCTTTCACTGTCTCCTGATCCCCTTTTAGTCTGTCCTTGGAAAGGTATCCCACCTCTATGGGCCTGATTTCCATTGCTGAGCCTTCCCAGGATGGTGGTTATGAGGAATACTCTGGGCACCCAGACTGCCTGGGTCCAATCCCAGCTTCCCTGCTTTTGCTTGCTGATTGCATGATTCTGACCCTCATTTTTCCCCTCTGCAAAATGGGGATAGTAACAGTACTCATCTCACTGCCCTTGTAAGGATCCGATGAGCAGTGAGGAAGGCGTACTCATGGGTACCAAGTGTGCCGCGGGGTCTCAAGGGCTGTGGGCTATCACTGCTACCATGGCTCTTTATTGGCCGTAAAGGGGACGGAGGACCTGTGTGATCCTGGATACCAGGGGCTGGCCCCCCAGTCCCTGTTCCCCAACCTGTGGCCTGCAGTCCGCTTGGCTGCCTGCAGCACCCAGTGATCGACAGCCTGGCCCGGTGGCGCCCTGGCAGGCCTGCCCTGGCAGCTGCTCACACAAGGCGAGGCCCTGGGAGCTTCAGAGAATTAATTAGGCTGCATTCCTCTTCCAGGGCTCCTGGCGGGCCCGCACACGGCCCCCTTCTGAGCTGCTGAGGGCTCTTGGCTGGGATCCCTGGCAGGCCAAGGCGAGCCCCACACTCTGCCCTCCCTGGAGAGGAGGGGCCGGGCGAGCAGAAAGCACGGCCAGGGAAGGGCCAATGGAAAGGCAGCAGCTGGAGGCACTCTGGTCCTGGCCTCCCCTGCTCGGTAACCTTCGCTAGCTCCCCATCACTCAAGATCAAAGTCCTGGCATCGGAGGCTGCTCCCAGCCTGGCCCCTGCTGCTCAGGCTGGCTGCCTCTCTCTGGACTCTTCCGGGGTCTGGCCGACGTGCCTGGCACCACTTCCCCAGCTGTGATGCCCTGTCCCCCTCCCAGCATGTGGTAGCCCTGCCCGTCCTTCAGCTGCCTTGCCACCAGCTTCAAGGACAACTCAAGGCATTTTCTACCCCTGTCCCTTTCATTTGTTCCTGCCTGCCATCCCTGCCCACTGGGGAGACCTCAAGGGCAGCAGCATGGCGTCCACAGGTGTGAAGCACTAACGGCAGGCGATTCCGGTCTCCCCTGGGAGACTGACTCCAAGGCTGTGGAGGGGTGGCAGTTACTGTAGGTGACCCTTGCCTGGAGCGCCAGCCCCTCATGCCGGTGCCAGGGCTTGGTGTGGTGCTCAGGAGTGTACCATCTGTTCCTGCCTGACTCTCCCACCTTTCCCAGGCCCCCTCACTCAACTGAGTCTCTTAAAACTTGGTTCACATGTCACCTTCTCCAGAAAGCCACTTGGAGTCCCCTTCCCCAGGGAGTCCATCTTAGTGTAGTGGTTCCCTGTTGGAGAGGTGGGAGAACTTACCTGGAGTCTAAAGCTCCACTGAGCCACACACTAGCTGTGTGGTTTTGAGCGAGTGACAGAACCTCTCTGTGTCTTGGTTATCTTTTCTATCACCTTTTTGTTTGCTTGTTTTGAGAAAGGGTCTGTGTGGCCTGGGCGGGTCCCCAGCTCCTGAGCTCAAGGAATCCTACTGCTTCAGCCTCCTGAGCAGTTGGGACTATGGGTGCCCACCCTGACTTCCCAATGCCAGAGCTCTGTGAATGAGGTTGCACGAGGAACCAGGAGTTAATAGGGGAGAGCGACGCTAAGCCCATAATAAATGGGAGCTCCTATTTTTAATCTTAATATCCACCAGTGTTTTTTTTTTTTTTTTTTTTGAATGGCCCTTCTCTGGGCCTGTGATGCAGGGGCTGTGTCTGTCTTGCTCACAGAGTCTCCCCAGAGGCAATTATTTATCTCTGTTGAATGAATGGATGGCCACGGTTCAGGAATTTATTGCCTTGATAGCAAATGACTTATCTGAACTGACCCTGGACTCTATTTTCAGAGAAAGAAAAAGAGAAAGAGAGAGAGAGAAGGGGAGATGAAGAATTCTCTGGGGCTCTTTCCCGATGAAGGGAGGCAGAAGCAGCCTGGGGCTCGGCCTCGGCCTCTCTGGGTCTGGATAGGCGTCTTCTCCTGCAATGTAACCCCGATAAATCGGAGTCATCCCGCGCCCCTTCTCTGTTATCTCTGCCTGGGGCTCTATTTGAAGGAACATGATTTTGACTCAGAAAACCTTGAAAAAAAAAAAAAAAACTCGATAGGTATTTACTGAAAACGCGGGAGACGTTTTCAGTAAATACCTAGCGGGAGAAATTTTTTCCTCCCAGTACTGGGGATTGAACCCCGGGGGCGCTTTACCATGGAGTGACACTCCCAGCTCTTTATTTTTGATTTGAGATAGGGTCTCCCTAAGTTGTCCAGTCTGGCCTCACACTTGCAATCCCCCTGCCTTGGGCTCCTGAGTAGAGGGATTATAGGCTTGAAACACTGCACCCACCTAAAAGGGGAGAGATTTTTGTTCCACAAAATGCAAACTTCCTAAAATGGAGACTCCACCCTTACCAGAGCTGCCTTTGACCTGGCAGCTGCTTCTCACATTTTTCCATTTCCCCCAGACTGTAACCCCACTGTTCCCCACGTCGGGGTCCCGGCTACCTAGCGTGTGATCTAGAAGCAGGCACAGACTTTCGGCACGCGTGATCCCTGGCTCTGCAAAGTTCTTGTCCTGTGGAGAGAGGCGGGGCAAGACAGATGCTGGAGTACAGGGCCCCAGCCAAAGGCCCCACTTCTAGGGACCAAGGATCTGATGGGCTGAGCGTCATCCCAGCCTGTCCCTGCCTCCTGCCTCCCCTCTTCCCTCTAATCATCTCCGCTGCTCAGTCATTTTGGGTCACTGATCTCTGAACCCTGAACAGGGCCCTGGGGCTGGTGCCAAGGGCAGTGAGCTCCTGCCTCCCCAGGCCTCCAGCATACCTTCAACCAGGGCTCCCCACGCCTCTGCTGAGCCCCAAACAGCTGGCGAGTTCTGGCCGATAGCTGTGCTTTCAGGATCATTTTGATGGGATGCTAGAAAGTGAGGGTCCCCTGGCCTTAGGCTCATGGCCATGTGAGAGGGGCTCTGACCCTGGGTTGCAGTGGGCAGTAAGAGGCTGACCCCGCCCCCTCCCACCAGGCCTCTCCAGCCAGGAGGCACTGCCAACCTGCCAGGGGTGGGTGCCTTTGCTTTCCTGCCACCTGTCACCTCCGTCAGTCTCAGCCGTGACCAGCCCTCTGAGGGCAAATTTCCAAAGCCCAGCTCTGAACCATTCTCCCGATTTCATGTCTCCCACAGCCCACAGGAGAAAATCCAGCTCCTTCACTTGAACTTCAAGACTCCTGTGGCTTCATCTTTGCTGTTCTCCCCTTGCCTGATCCAGCCATCTGTGGCCTGGCAGAGGGACCTCCCCGATAGGTCCCTGCTCACTGTCCCTCTTCCCCTTCCTGTAATCCCTCCCCTTCCCCTGTGAGTCCTGCTCAGGTTTTGAAGTGACAGGTGTGTCCCTTTGTGCAGAATCCTTTCTCTGCCCCCTGCCCCCATCTCCACTCTAGCCAGCCCCAGTCTCTCCCTCTCTGCAGGTCCTCTGGCTCAGTCCCCGTCCCACATGTTACATAATCACATTGGCAGCCTGACAAGCAGCCTCTGCTCCTCGGGCCCTGGGCTCAGCCTGGCCCCGCAGTTTGCCTGTCTGGTGATTGTACCAGCCTTGTGAGTTGAGGACTATTGCTTCCCATCTTCTGAGTTAGAAAAAATAGCTAAGGCGCAGAAAGAGCTTCGTTCAAGGTCACACTGGTGATCCATGAATTCAATCAATAAATATTTATTATGCACATGTATAATATAGACTCTGATGCAGAAAACCAGGGCTCTCATCCTGATGCCCCGTATTTACTTGCTGTGTGACTCAAGGAAAGTCCCTTGCCTTCTCTTATATCATTTTCCTCATCTGTAAAAAGGAGAATCATGAAAGTACTTGCATCACAGGATTGTGGTGAGGATAGAACGTGTTAATCTGGATAAAGTAGTAGTAGCTCAATACGCATCAGCATGTTATTCTTCCACGAGGAGATCAGGATTCGTTTTCTGGATAAGGCAGTGTTAGAGAAATATATAAATAATTATTGCTTAGTCCATTAATTTGTCCCCAGAGTAGGCTCAGGTCACAGGCTGTCACTCGCAGTATAGGTGAGCCTCAGGAAAAGGGCAGGGCTTGCTTGAGAGTCTGTAGAGATGGAGGCCGTGGGTCTAGCAGCTGCCAGCAGGAGGGCCCTGGCTGCAGGCTGTCTCTGGGATCCGGGTGGGCTGCTTCTTGGGCTGTAGCAGGACTGGTGAGCCCAATGCTAGAGCCTGAGGCTTCTTCAGTCAGACAACATCAAACTCTAGCAGGGCCCTGCCAAGGCCCAAGGCAAAGGGCACAGCCAGGGCCAGGCTACGGTTCCACCACGGCGCCCATCACTGACCACCAGGGCTGTGCACAGCCACCTGGCTCCATCCCTCACAGGACAGATTGGCTCTGGGCCTTGTGGTCACCCTGGCAAGACAGGGCAGCTGGAGCAGAAGCCGGTCTCCATACCCCCAAAGTCTTGGCATCTTCTAAACATGCTCTTGGAGGAAGTCCTGGCCATTGGTTTCTGTTCTGGTGGGAATGTAGGTCCCAGAATCCTGATCACAGTGGCAAATGGCTGTGTCGGTACATGATAGATCTGAGAGGGCAGACTAGCAGCCAGAGAAGGGCCAGGACCTGGTGCTCCCTTTCTCTGCTCCTGGGTCCCCTGACTTCCAAGTAGCCCCTTCCTAAGAGAAGCCTTCTACCTCGGCTCAGCCAAAACAAAATATCAGAATATCATTTCATTGTTTATTACAAACACAAGTTCTCGGGTAAATAATTGAGGATCTAAAAAAAAAATACATTAAAATAAATAACTGGGATTCTCAAAGTCCTTAGAGTAAATAAGTTATATACAGAGGGATGAAGCAGAACAGGCTCTCACCAGCAGTGTCCCAAGGGCATGAGGGGGACCCGGCCTCTGGGAAGGGGGAGCCAGAGAGGACAGATGGGGCTGGTCAGGATTCCAGCTCCTGGGGGGACCCACGCAGGCTCCACGACTGCCTTAGGTGTGAGCCTGCCACACTGCAAGGTCCCTCCTGGATTGTAGCCCAGCAAACAGGAAGTTCCTCGGGACACGACCTCCAGGTTCACTCGGCCTCCCTCAGTCACTTTCAGCAGGCCTGGGGGCCAGCAGCCATCGCCAGCAGACTGCCCTGCCATCTGGGGGCCGGGGGCTGTGCAGCATGAGGGCACCAGGCTGTCCTGAGGAAGCCTCCCGCACATGTGGGGAGGCCAGCACCTATGCCAGCCCCAGCAAATGGGTCCAGCTGGCTGGGGCCAAGGCCCTGGCCCAGGAAACAGGTGGAGGGTCTCCATGAGCTGCCCTCTCCTCCCGTGTCCACATGGGCTTTCTTCTCAACATTTCCCAGCCTGCAGTGCTATCTCTTCCTCCACCTGGAGTGGGCCGGCTTGGGCTCCCTTGTTGCCTCCCGCTGTCGCCTGGCAGAGCGGATCTTGGCAGCAGAGATGTCCCTGGAAATCAAGAAGGATCAACTTAGCATCTCAGGGGACACGGACTGTCTCAGGAAGCAGGGGCAATGGAGGATGAGAGCCCTTGCCCAGATCCTGGGTGATGGCTGCCTTGGGCTCAGAGGGTGACCAAAGCCCGAAAGCAAGGCCTACACATTAAGACAGGTCACACAGGGGCCTAGAAGCTTCTTTGCTGATGGGGGTCTTTGATAAAGTTGGTGTTCAATGCTGTCAGAATGGCCAGCCGGCCAGGAGTAGCCCTGGAATTTCCCACAATCTGCCCTCCCTCTTCCACACCTTGCTCACTGTCTATCTTCCTCTTCCAAACTGCACAAATTCTACCCATTCTTCAGGGTCCTGTTCGAGATGGTCCAGACCAGACAAATATGGCTTCAGTCGCCCTTTGAACCTGGCTGAGACCCTGGCAATGTTGAAGCATCCACTTCCTGGCCCAGTGAGTCTCAGCCTGGGCGTTGGAGGCTGGCCTCAAGGTATGGGAATGTGGGCGAGGGCCACAACCTCTCTGAGACTCTTTCTCAGCCTATGGCTAAAAACAGGCCTGAACTGCCCTGAGGATGGGTGCTTCATGGGCACAGCAAGCTCTCTGCACACTGTGAAGTGCTGTGGACTTGCAAAGTCTTATTCTAATTTTTTTTTCATCTTTAGACAGTGTGGGGGTCAGTGCCTGCTCTTGCCCACCCCACCATCCTGCCTTTTCTCTTATTTGTCTTCCTCTTCCTCCCATAGGATGGGAATCCCTGTGGGGCTATGCTGGACCCCAGCACTGTTCAGCCCTCAGGAGCCCTAAGTGGCAGAGACGGGAAGTGGTGAAGACCTGCAGAGTTCCCCTGGGCTCAACTTCATGCACCCAGCCCTACAACAATCCTGTGGAATGGATGGCCATTTCCCTGGTTTCAAAACTAAGGATCTGAAACACAGAGAAGTGGTGGGCCAAGCCTGAGGTCACAATGTGTTTGTGGTAGGGTTGGGGTTCAAATCAGGGGGTCCCTGTTCCAGCAGTTGCTCCGGTCACTCTGATGCACGGGCAGGAGTGAGGTTTCTGTTCTTAAGGCAGACTGGTGGACAAATACTCATAAGCACCTTCTGCACAAAGCCTGGAGCTGAGCCACAGTAAGGCCAGAGGGGAAGAGGTGCAGACTGGACAGGGAAGAGACAGCAGGTCGGGCAGTGGGCCCCCTCCAAGTCTTAGGTTGTGGGAGATGATTGATGAAGATAGCCTGAATGAACAAACTATGATCCTTCCCAGTCATGAGCCCTTAAACCCTCTAAAACACTGCAAGTAAGGCCCAGGGGTAACAAAAAACAGTGGTTGAGCGTGTAAACTCTGGAGTCAGCCAGATGCCACTGTGTGACTTTGGGCAAGTGGCTTTCCCTCTCTGAGTCTCTGTTCTCTTGGCTGGACAATGAACACTCACACCTCATGTGGAGAAGGGAGATGGGAAAGGCCTCCAGGGCATGTTCGACTAGGGCGATGCGCTTACCTTAGTCTCTGGAGGAGCTCTCCTTCCTTGGCCCATGTCTTTCTAGTCTGGAACACATCTGCAGGGGACTGGCTGCTTAGGACTGACCCGGCTTCAGCCCTGAATAGAGAGCAATAAGGCCCCAGTGAGGGGCTATCCAGGGCCCCAAAGCCACCTGGCTGCAGGCCCAGCCCAGCCCCCACCCCACCCGCCCTCAGGAGCAGATCCATTTCCACTCTGTGCACCTGGCATCCTGCCTTTCCCAGGCAGGGTGGGGACTGAGGAAAACCGAGCTACCGGGAACATATTCTTGGTCTCAAAAAAGAGGCAGCTGTGTGGCTGCTCTTCCCAGAATCTGGCCACCTGCAGCTTTAGGGGAAACTGAGGCAGCTTGAGGAAACTCCGCCCCAGCTTGAGCCTCAGAGGAGGACTTTCTTGTAAACCATCCTGGGAACCGGAGCTTGGGATTTTGAAAGCCAGTTCCTGCTGTCCCACATGGTCTAAGTAAGGGAACAAAATCTCCCAATCCTTTTACAGATGAGAAAACTGAGGCCGGGGACAATCAGAAGCCTTGGAAAACCCCCCTTTCAAGCCCAGCAACTCTGTGACACTGGGATGTGTCTTGGCTTCTCAACTCCAGATGCTATTTTTCCTCTGAGGAAGCTCTGAAGGCCTCCAGGACTCAGGCTGGCCTCTAAGGCCCAGGGGAGCTTGATCCCTTGTAGGCCTGACACAAGTCCTGACCTCTCTTTGGGCCTGAGCTCCCTCAGCCATCACTGGGGAGCATTCCTTCTGCCCAGGCAGGAATGAGGACCTGAGTGTTCTCAGAAGCCCCCAGAGCTGCACTCTGCCTGCAGGAAGGGGCATTGCCCATGCACCCAGGGCCACTTGCTTGACCCCTGCTAGCCCCTCTGCTGGCCTCCTGGACACTCTGCTGCCAGGGCAGGTTCAGGCCAGCAGCCATCCCTACCTCTGCAGGCCCGGCGCCCACCTACCAGGGTGTCTGATGGCAGAAGGTGGCACAGGCAGAGTCCTTGGTGCTGGAGCACTCACAGCGCCTTGGCAGGGAGCGGCGCCGGCGCCTTGGCGGGTTTCCCAGGCCGTAAGGAGCTGTCTGTCTGTGGGCGGGCAGCCAACAAGGTAATGGTGTGGGGCAGGGAGAGAGGGAGAGAGAGAGAGGATTAGATCAACCACAGCCATTGGTGAGCTGCAACTGTCCACACTGTACACTGGAACCGTCAATCTTGCCACCAGAATGGCAATGAGAAGTGACCATCCCCTGACCGCAAGAAGGCCCACCACTAAAGTCACAGGCTCCTCTACAAGTGCTAGGTAGCCCTGGACAAGACCCATCCCTTCTCTGGGCATCTGGGCCCTGGCTCAGCTGGGCTCAGTGAGGGCTCCCAGCACAGGGAGGAAGTGGCTGGAGTCTAGGGTCCCCCCCTAAAGGCAGGAACTGGGGAGTCCTCCCAGCCCTTCTCCCTTCCCAGACAGGAACTCCAGCCAATGGGGTCAGGTCCCCTGTGCAAAAAGGCTCCAGCTAGTCCTGAAGGAAAGGAGGAGCCTCCATTTCATAGACGTAAACACGCAGGCTGCAGGCTCGGGCTAAGCTGCTCCCACCCAGCACCACTTGCTGGGAGGAGTGACAAATACGCTTTAGAGCTTTAACTTACAGCAAGGTGTGTGTGTGTGTGTGTGTGTGTGTGTGTGTGTGTGTGTTCAGGTGGGGCTGACTGCAGATTCAGCCTGACTGGGGTGGTCAGGGCAGGGCAGGGGCCCCAAGTCTGGTCGGACCAGCACCTTTGGGTGACAGCTAATTTCAGCTGGTGGTTAGAGCTGTAATGACTCCAGGTGGACCCAGTGCGCAGGGCCTGGCAGGGTTCCCGCCCTGAGCAAGTGTTTGGATGCGGATTAGCTCCACACACACTTACGTGCTGGGCCTCTCTTGCCTTATGCAATTTGGGGCAGAAAAAAAAACAAACACAAACACACACAGAAACTTCAACTTGAGGTATGCAGTGGCCTGGGGGCAGCGCGGGCGCAGGCAGAGCAGGCAGAACAGACAGCACCCGGCTCCCACTGCGGCTCAGCCAGGGAACAGAGGGCAGGTTGCTCATCTGTCATTTGGGGACAAAAATAGTGCCTCATGGGGTGGCCAGGGGACCCATGAGATGCAACTGCACATGCGGTGCTTGGCATAGGGCCTGGCACAATCAAAACATGGGTCACTAATTGTATTCTTTGCAGAGGCAACTTGATTGAGTAGATATGTGCTCTGGTATCCACAGACTAGGGATGGGGTCTATCACCAACTCCTTCCTGTGTGATCTTGGGGAAGTCACCTAACTTCTCTGAGGCTCACTATTCTGATTTGGAAAATGGAGCCAACAGCTTCTTACCAGGCGGTTGTGAATATTCACAGGAGACAGCCCTCTACCTGTCTCTGGAGACTCCCACATGGGAGATGAAACAATAACTGGTCGTACTGACATTAGCCCAATGCCTCTATCTGGAGGCCCCGGGGAGAGCTGGACTGTGTCAAATGTCCCCCGGCATGCCGGTATCCTTGCCCTGCCCCCCTGCCCCTTGGTAGCCCCCACCTGGATCTCCATGGATACTCACCCGGGAGTGTTCACCCAGATGATGTCCAGGTGGCAGAAGTAGACGCACTCCTTGTCAAGCCAGGAGCTGCAGGAGCAGCGGCGGAACCGCAGGTGGGCGCCTTGGGCATGGGGCGAGAGCGCGGGCTGCTCCTGAGTGGCAGCAGCCTGGCCCTTCCCTGAACGCACAGGAGGGAGAGAGAGGCGGAGAGGTGGTCAGGGCGCTGGCACGGCCTGGGATAGGGGGACCCGCCAGGCTCCTCCTCTTGCACAATTGAGGAAGTTGGCACTCTGACTGCTCGGGAGCTCCTGGCCAGCCCGGGGAAGCCCCAGCAGCTGCCCCACGCCTGCAGCGCTCTGCACCTGCAGAGCACCCCACCACAGCTCCCGCCTGCATGCCCCCCGTTGGCCTGGGGGTACAGCAGCTCTGGGAGAGACGCGGACGGGCAGGCCCGGGGCTGCAGCAGCAGGCGAGGCCAGGGAGGCTCACCTTCGTGCAGGGCCACAAGCAGGGCTAGAGCAACGGAGCACCAGGTGGTGGGCACAGAGGCCATAGCAGCGGTACAGTGCACAGGCTGGGCTGCACCGGAGCGGGAACGTCTGTTGCCAGAGTCCTGCTGCTAAGCCGAGCTGGTAGCTCATTGCCTTGGTGCCCTGGTTGCCTCTTATAATACCAGGCACAGCGCCCCGCCCCTGCTGTCCAGCCCCGCCTCACCTTGGGCTGAGAGCCAGGGACGCGCCTCCTCCCCCGGGTGCCTGGCCCGCCCTAGCCTCAGTGGCGTGGGGGGAGGGAGGTGGAAGGTTCTGCTCCCGTAGCACCTCTGGGCCTAGGGCTCTCCTGCAGCCCCCAAGGGCCCCTTCAGTCCTACTGGGCCTCCTCAAGTCACCCTCAAAGTGACCCACGCTCCTTCCCCACCCTCCTGTGGGCCTCCACAGCCCTTGCCCTGAGCTCAGAGTTTGGGGGGGGGGGACAGTTCTGTGAGCAGAGGAGACACTGCATCTTTCCCGCCGTCCACTGCCAACCAGGATGAGGATGCCCTTCTCCTGTGTGGGATGTGAAAGGCCCAGTCAAGGCCAAGTGGCCTTGGGCGAGTCAGAGCCCCCCTCTGGGGCTGCTTCCATCAGTGAAGGACACAGCTTACCCCTGACCTCTGACCAGCTTGAGGCTGCCTCATCCCCACCTCACCCAGGAAGTGCCCCTGCCCCCTACGCCCCCAATTCCTCAGTGCCTCCAGCAGAAGCTCTTCAGCCACGCAGCTGTGGCCACGGATATTCCTCCAGTGTCTCAGCTTCCTTATTTGCAAAATAGGGGGTTTCTTAACCTGTTTGCCTTAGAGTCTCCCTTGAGACAAAGAAGGTGACTCCAGGGTCCTTTCTAGGACCATGTCCCTGTGGGCGCACACACAAGCGTGCTGAGTGCTGTCCCTTCTTGGACATTACTGGATGCTAAGCTCACCTCGGGGACTACTTTATGCAAAAGAAAAGTGTGGGGGGGGCAGACAAGGCAGGGGAGGGGGCTCCCTGGGGATTGGCATTCTGCTCCCCATCTCTCTGCTGGCCCAGACCTTCACTGGAGACAGGAGTAGGGGTGTGTAGGTGCCAAGCTGAGCACCTTGAGGAACCAAGCAGCGCAGGGAACTGGCAGTCACCCTGTGCCTGCCCAGACCTGGCTCCGAGTCCACCTCCCACGCGTCTTCTTAGGGACCCTGTCTGCAGGCAAACGGGAAAGGCCCTTCTCACTCTTTGGAATGTCCAGAGCCTGCCTGACGCACGGCATTGAGCCTGTCTCCCCAGCACTCCTGGAGGTCCAGAAACCCAGGGAAGGCCGGGCCTATGGCTTGCCTTGGACACAGTCGGAGCCCTGTGAGTGCTCTCTGAGGGAGGCGGATGAGTGCAGACAGGCCTGGCTTTGAACTGTGGGACCCTGGCCATTCCGTAGTTTTGCCCTGTGTGTTTAGTCCCTGCATTAGACACTCATGAAGGAGAAAAGAGGTGACCACAGGAACTGGCAGTTTTGCTGTGAGACCCTATTAAAGCTGGACAGAATCAATGGAGGCCGATGCCATCTACCAGGGTCTTCCTTCCCCCAGACTGGGGCCAGGTACAGTGCGAATCAGAAGCGTCATTTCTTGAGCACTTGCTATGTGCTCAGAGCACTCTGGACTCCTCACTGCCCCCCAGGAGGCAGCTGTTATCATCCGGTGTCAGCTCCATGACTGTCCACAAGGAGGCTCTCAGAGGATCAGGGCCACCTCTGCCACACAGCCAGCACAGGGCAGAGCTGGCATTGGGACCCTGATGTTGGTCTCTCAAACAAACCACAAGTGACTCCCTGCTCGGGGGAGCTCACGGGCCCTCCCTCACACTGTGCCTCTCTTAAGAATTTTGGAGAATATCTCTGGAATGAGGGAGCAATACTCCCAGTCCTTTCTATGTGCCTCGGGGAGAATATGAACAGGGACTTCGGCAGGGGTGGGGGGGAGGGGGCGGAGAGAATGCAAACTACTGAGCCGTGAAGAGAAGAAAGCAGCCAAAGCAGGTCAGCGGGGAGAAGGAGGGGGTCAGCGCAGGGAGGAAAACAAACAGGGAGGCAGATAAAGACAGGTAGGGGGAACGCAGAACCAGGAAACCAGCACGGAGAGAAAGGAACAGCTGGGATTGGAGAAAGTACAGGAGGAAGACGGTAGGGAGTGAGAGGTGCAGCTCGAACTGGCTAATCTTTACACAAATGCAAAACGCCTGCCCAGGACAATAGGGAGCCAGAGTCTGGGAAACATAATAAAAGCATTAAATGGACCCAGGGACAGGATCCTTCCTGGCTGAGAAAGGAGGATGAGGACAGGGCAGGGGCCGCTGCTGGGGCCTCTAGGGTCAGCGCAGGGAGCTGCGCGCTGAGCCCAGCTCCGGTTTCCCTCCTTCCGTGCCCTGGGCTCCAGCTGGGCACCCAGAGCTCCTGTGAAATGGAGAGGCCTGGCCCGGGAACCTGAGTGGGCCAGGTCCTAGGGGAGGAAGACATTCCGGGAACAGTGCTACCCCACCGGCCAGAGTTGGTTTCCAGGTAGAGAAAATTAAGCTGAGTTCAAAATAGCCAACACCAGGCCCCTGGACCGCTCACCTGGGCCCTGGCCATCACCTTGGCCTCTCCCGGGTCATGGGCAATGACACCTTTACCCCTGCGCAGTAACTGCTCTGGTGACCTTGACGCTGGTCCTTCTAAGGGGCCTGGCTGCATGTTCCTGCCCTTGGGGGCTGATCTGTCGGCATGCCCCCCCCCCACCTCCTCTGGTGCCCACCAGCTGCCCTGACACCACCATGTTGCCCCTCCCAACCCAACCTGGTTTTGCTGTCTGCCTGGGTCTCTAAAGGCTGCCCGGAGAGGGCTGGGATTCACCAAAGTTCACCCTGTCAGAATTTAGATGGAACTGTTTTCCACACAAAATGTTTTTTTTCCCCATGTACCCCACCCCAGCTGGAGAGGGAGAGACTCAGTGGGAGGAAGGCTGGCAGCAGAGGACAGTGGAGGCATCTGTATTTTGGGTGAGACTCAACACTAGGAATTGCCCTGTAGAAATCCCCTCCAGCCTTCACTCCCGTCTTGTAGATGAGATAACTGGGTCCAATGAGATAACTTAAACCACTTGTTTAAGACAGAAATGGGGCTGGGCATGTTCTCTTGGATCCTAATCTAGCCCTACTCTTTCCATATACTCCCGAGGTTCTCCCAGGATGCAGCTGTGCCTGGGGTCCTGGGTCCTTTTGGGCCCAGGGCTCTGACACCCTCACCCCAGTTGAACCCCACTGACAGAAAGACCAGGGCACTAGGATGAGCCTGGGCTGTCTCCCTGTGTACCCCAAAGCTCCATTTATAATCCCTGCGTGGGGTGCATATGGCACCATTGAGTAGCTGGCCAGCAGCCATGGACCCTTGTTGGATGGAGGACACACAGACTGAGGGTCAAGCGTACCAACAATATTGTGCCACAGTTAAAAAAAAAGGGGGGGTGGGGGTGGGGGTATCCACCAGGTAAGGCCCTGGCCCAGGGGGCTTTGTCCAGGGCTCTGCTACTCACACTGTGTGGCCATGTACCAGTCCTATCCCTTCCCATCAATGGTGAGAGATGCTGTCAACCCTGATTGCCTGTGACATTCAGAATCCAGGGACATGAATTTGGAGCTACCCAAAGGGATGCATGGCTCATGGCTACATGGCTCTTGTTTCCAGCTTGGGGCCTTCCCCTCTCTTGCCTCTGGAAAACCAGTTACCCCATTGCTACCTGGCCCTACCAGGTTTCAGAAATTTCTGTTTGTAACCCTGGCAGAAGGGACACAGTGTTTTGCTGCAGGTACACATCATGCAAGCAGCTTAGCAGAGTAAGCAAAGAGGAGCTGAGCAGGGGCCCGTGTCAGGATCTAGGGTTATGGGAGACTGGGAGGGTTTTGGCTGTGGAGCAAGCCTAGGCTGGGGGCTCTGGGGTGAGCCTGAGCTGGGGTTTGGGGACTTCAGATATTCCTATCACTACTTGTCCCCAAGACTGGGGACTGGTTGGGCTGTGCTACTGGGTCTTGGGCCACTGAGTCTCAGGGCCTGCTTATGGTGGGTGGTCTGGGCCTTGTGCTATTGGCCACAGCTCGCCCTGAACCAGCAGGGCCACCACCACCCACACCATTGTCCTCATGCTGGGTTTCAACGAGGGCAACCTCAGCCCTGTGGGCCTGGCTCCTTTCTTGAGGATACCCCTTTTGCTTCCTTCTCCCTCCATCTCAGCCCATTTGGAAAGATTTATATCTCCCACATAAACTGTACTTTTAAAGAAATATTCATGTGCCTTGTTTGTTATTAATCCAAGAATCATCAGAACAGGGTCATCGAGGCCCATGGAACTGGTGGAATTTCACTAAAAGCAGACTTTGTTCAGTCAAAGCACCCTGGTCAGGTGACCATGTGAGTCCTGCCGGGCCGTTTGAAATAAGAAGACCAACTCAGGAACTCAGCTCTTAGGATGGAAATCTCTGTACTCCAATTTTTTTGTTCCCTTTGAGTAGTCAGGGCCTGATTCCCTATTTAACCTTTTGGGGGATAAAGCAAGCAGTGTGTATTTATTGAGCACTTAATATATCCCAAGCCCCGTACTAAGTGATTTACATGAATTATGTCCATTAACTGTCACAAAATATCCACAGGGCAGGTATTGTAATTTGTCCCTATTTTATAAGTGAGGAAAACTGAGGCTCAGAGAGGGTAAGTGACTTGCCCAATGTCAGACAGCTTGGGTGTGGCAAAGCCAGGATTAGAAGGCAGGTCTATGTAACTGCAAGGTCCCAGCCTGAATTCTGTGTGTCCCCATTGTGCTTTCTTGACTCCTTGGCCTTTGGGAGCCCTCCATAGTACCTCCCCTCCAAGGGCTCCTCTTGGCTTGTACCAGGCAGAGAGTTCTGTGCAGCCTTGCAAAGTGGGGGGCCCAGGAGTAGAGGCAGGCCTCTCACCTGTGTCCCCAAACACAAAACACAGCATGGAACTCAAGAGGCCAGTGGCTGAGGCCTGTCTGGCATGACC